TATAACTACTAATGTAATACCAATCCTGATCACAGACAAGTGACAAAGAGGAGGAGGAGGAGGAGGAGGAGGAGGAGGAGGAGGAAGAAGAAGAAGAAAAAGAAAAAGCAACCCTTATCTTTAGGTTAGGGAGTCTCGCAGGAAAAACTGAAGCGGCAGCTCCCGGGTCCGGGAGCCAAACCGGACAGAGGCGGGTGGCACCATCGCTCCAAGGCGTGGTGGCGTCTAGGTGTAGGGGAAGCCTAGTTGCACGCCCCCCCCCCCACACACTCCGCCAGGCGCGCAGCAATCCCAGCCTCCTTTTCGCCACTTTTATTCCCACTTCTCCCGGGATGGGCACACACTAGGGTTCTGAAGCAGGGGTCCCTAGACTCTTTGAGTGGAGGGTATCCCTGAGGGGCTCCGAAGTCTAAATCGCACCGAGCAGGGGGTCGCGGCTCGGCCTGGATGCGTGTGCCCTTGTCTCCGAACCAGCGGAAGGATCGTGGCGCTCCAAGATGTTCCAGCTGACCCTCGGTGCCCTAGTCCAGGGAGGCAGGCTCGTTCTTCTCCCCGAGGCCTCGCGGGGTTCCGCCCCCGGTGCCGACCAGGAGTCGGCCCCGGTCGCAGCCCCGCCTCCCGGGATTCAAGTTTCCGCCCCAGATTAGGTGAACTGATTGAGGGTTAATGAGAGCGACACCAGCTCTCCACCAAACTCCCGACCCGGCCTCCTGACCGCTGGTAACTCTGAGCGCATGTTCCCGAGGTTTTATCTGACTTGTCCCCTAAACCGTCCATGCTCGACGGACTCCGGTGTCCGGCAGTCAGCGCGCGTGCGGCTCAGACTCAACTTCCTTGGGACAAGATCTCTGGTGAGACCAGAAAGCTTTCCCCGGACTTTGTTTCTGAGTTAGGCCTACAGGGTCTGGGAAGTCATGGGCTGTTCCTCCCGGGTCAAGGATTGGTCCTTGCCACCAACCCCTCACTTTCTTGTCCCTCTGTCTTCTCCGGTCTCTGCTGCACCCAGTAGTCTCTCGGCAAATCGGTCCCCCAGTCCTTCCTAGTGCGCTCCTCTTACACTTGTGTTTGTCGCAGTGCCTTGGGGGTCTTGGCTCCCGGCCCCTTCCGGGTCCCAACCTCTGATGCGTTAAACTAATCCACGTTCCCAGTCCCGCTGCGCAGCCGGGAAGCGGAGACGGCGGGCATCGAGTTGGGATAACGGACCAGTTGGGGCCTGGCACTCTCTGGAGAGTGACGCGCCAGTTTTGCCAGCGAAGGGGAGGGGCCGGGAGCGTGGGCAGGGCAGGAAGGACCAGAGCCCGAGCCCGGGGACAGGTTTTACCATTGAGCCGAGGCAGTGGCGTCGGCAGACGAGACTCGCGCCACCTGTCCGAGTGCCACCTGGTGAGCGCGGCGCTGGGGCCCAGGCCCCTCCTCCCTCCTCCCGCCGGCCTCCTCCGCTCCTCCTCGGCCCGCACTCCCCCCTCCTCCTGGCTGCTGTCTGGAGCCTCCAACACTGCTGACCCGAGTTTCCACCCGCTTCTCCCTTCCTCTTAGCGCTTGCAGGGACGGAAGGCTGACCGAGGGTTTGCGCATCCCTCCAGCGGCGGGTCACCATGCCGCGCTCTTTCCTGGTTAAGAGCAAGAAGGCGCACAGCTACCACCAGCCGCGCTCCCCCGGACCCGACTACTCCCTCAGGCTGGAAATCGTACCGGCGCCCGGCAGAGCAGGTGCGGTTCGGGCCGGGCAGCTCCCAGGGACGCCGACCCTGTGCCCCGCCACTCAGTTGCCTAGGAGCCCGGGGAGGCTGCCCCAACGCCCTTTGGCTGTCTTTTTTTGGTTGTCGTTTTGTAGTGCCCCTGTTTTTTCCGAACTTGCGATCTAAGTGCCACTCCTTCTGAACCGACCTTCGAATCCCGGAGGGTTCCTGACCCGACCTGAGCCGATGCCATGCGCGGGTGTCACCGTCTGGGCTCGGGGGACCACTGAACTGTCTGGGTCAACCAGACTCGGCCTGACATCTTTCCTGACTCCTCTCTACAGACAGCGCGTTGAGTGCTGGCGAGAAGAAGGTGGAGCCCGGAGACCGTTTGTCCCCTGATTCTCAACTAACCGAGGCCCCGGATAGAACCTCCGAGTCCCCGGACAGCTGCGAGGGCAGCGTCTGCGACCGGAGTTCCGAGTTCGAGGACTTCTGGAGGCCCCCTTCGCCCTCGGTGTCTCCAGGTAAGCACGGGTGGTGAGGTGCTATGGTGGGGACCCTGGGACTCCGGGCCACCTTAGGCGCAGAAATGCTAACCGGGTGGCAGAATCCTGGGCCCAGGGACAGAGATGGTTCATAGGGGACCTAGCCCAGTGAGAGGTGCCCAGTCTCTGTAGGACTGGAGGGGCTTGACCATGTGTCCTCTGCCCCCTTTCAAGGCGGTGGGCTCCTGGTTGTTCCCTCAAATTCGTTTGCTTGGAGCTGGAGGGTGACATAAAACAAGCCAGTCCTCTCTGCTGGCAGCAACGCTGGCGTTTCGTTTTCTGATCAGACTTCATTGTTTAGAAAAGTGTCAGATCCCAGAAGGCAGGACCCCACACAGACACCTCAACCAAAGGGAGACCTGGACAGCCTGAGCACGGCAGTGCTGGGTGCCACACGGGATAGATAAGTCCCTGAGGAAAATCTCAGCTCCTGGTCTTACTGGATCGATCTTGGGGGCTTATTCATTTTTCCCCCTTCTGCCTAGATGGCCCAGTTTCAGGGACCAGCCTGCTGGGTTTCATTTCCAGTGAGACACCAAGCTTCCTGCAAACCGAGTGACTAGAGTTTGAGAGGGAGGTGTCTCCGGCAGGTCAGAAGAAAACATATCAGCCCAAATTCTGCCAAGGGCCAGTTATTGCCAGATCACATGTGCTGTTTTTAAAAGATAGCTCATCCATCCCACACAGAGCTCCATAGCGTACCTGGGAGTCCGTGGTAGAATGGGCTCTTCCTGCCTATGTGTGGTCCATTCAAGGCCTGGGAGCCCCGGGAGCCCTTCCATCGGAAACTTGGGGTGCAGCTCCTTACTGAAGAAGCTAGAGTGTGAGAGTGCTGCTTTCAAATAGATCTCTGCATGTATACATTCAGATTCATTGGGCACCTAGTTTTAGCAAAATCCACTGGCTCGTGGTGGGCTGTGGAGGGGGGTGCGGTGTGAGGCTAGCAGAGGATTTGGAAAGTTCTCCTGAAGGTGGTGGCTAACCCTTAATTGTAAAATTAATTTTCTAAGAAATTCGTTTTCTTCCTCAAATTATAGCAAGAACGGGAATACTTAGACCCTTGCCTACTGCCCCTGTGCAATCTGCCCTAAGCACTTAACAACTTTGGGTACTATTAACGCCTTTCCGGTTTGTTTACACTGATTTTTCCTGGGTAGTCAGGCCTGAGGTTTATTGGCTTTCTTCCCTCCTTCATTATCTCACAGAAAGGAAAAGGGTTGAGTGGGGACATGGAGGGACTAATAGCTGACTTCTGACTTCGCCCACGAGTGATGTTCAGGGCCTTCTCCGTAAACTCAAGACCTACCTAGCCTTTCCCTGCAGTAACAGCAGGTGCAGAGGTCCAGCCAGAAAATCTACCTAATCTCTAACTCTCAAATAGAATTTACCCAATCTCCTCACCCTATGGCATTCTAATAAATGTGCTGCCCTGCCACTGGCCTACGAGGCCCTTTTGCCCAGGATGTCGGTGATACCTAGCATGGCACCTGCGCACCGAACATTCTAACCAGCTTGGACGCCTATCAGCGAACTGGGAGCGCGGGCTGTGCCCGGCAACCTCGAACTTGACCCAATAGACTTTTATGCCTCCACAGCTTCGGAGAAGTCGATGTGTCAGTCTCTGGATGAAGCCCAGCCCTTCCCCGTGCCTTTCAAGCCCTATGCATGGAGCGGCCTAGCGGGTTCTGACCTGCGGCACCTGGTGCAGAGCTACCCGCCGTGCACAGCCCTGGAGCGCAGCGCTGGCCTGAGCCTCTTCTGCGAGCGCAGCCCAGAGCCAGTCCATCCCGCCACGCTGTACAGCTCAGAGCGCCCTGCGGGTGGTGCGGGGGCCGGGCCACCAGGGAGCTGCGGCGGCGCAGCGGGCGCCACCAGTGGCACCAGCCTGGGACTCTACGGTGACTTTGGCCCTGTAGCGGCGGGGCTGTACGAAAGGCCAACAGCAGCGGCGGGCAGGTTGTACCCAGAGCGCGGCCACGAGCTCCACGTGGACAAGAGTGCTGGCGTCAAGGTGGAGTCGGAGCTTCTGTGCACGCGTCTGCTGCTGGGCGGCGGCTCCTACAAATGTATCAAGTGCAGCAAGGTGAAGCTCCAGCGACAGGCTTTGTCAGCCCCTCCCTTGTGTTCTCCATGCCTCCAGCATCCTTCCAGCATGCCTTCTCATCCCTCCAGCATCCCTTTAGCATCCTTCAGTATCCCTCCAGCATTCCTCAAGCATCCCTCATCATTCCTCTAGCATCCCTTCAGCACTCCTTCTCATACCTCCGGCATCCCTTTAGCATTCTTCAGCATTCCTTCAGCTTCCCTCAAGCATCCCTCATCATTCCTCTAGCATCCCTCCAGCACCCCTTCAGTACCCCGCCAGCATCCTTCCAGCATCCCTCCTAGCATCCCTCCAGCATCCACACCCTGCGGCCACTCTCAGCGGCCTTCTTCCTGGCCCCACTCTCTTCAGGTGTTCTCCACACCACACGGGCTCGAGGTGCACGTGCGGAGGTCCCACAGCGGCACTAGACCTTTTGCCTGTGAGATGTGCGGTAAGACCTTTGGGCACGCAGTGAGCCTGGAGCAGCACAAAGCCGTGCACTCGCAGGTAAGCTTTGCCTTGCTGTCCTGCTCAGAGCATCACATTGGGAATCTTTCTGTTCTTAGTGCAACACCAGTGGCTCTGAAAGTTCTCCTCAGCTTTCCCCCCACTGCCTCCAAACTCCTTCCCATTCCCCTCCTCCCGTTGCCTTGCCCTGGTTTAGGTGTGCAGAGAAACGTGGGTGGTAGAGGGCTCACGCTTTGCAGCAATCGGCTTTGCAGCAATCTTAACCTGTGGTGTTGCATCGCTGTGAGCCAAGCGTTTTGATGAACTTGAGGAAGTTCTGTGTGTACGGAGGTTTGCTGGTGGTATATCAGGTTTATTAGCTGTTTGTCTTTCCCAAATGGGGACACTCACCCTTCCTGACTGAAAAGGTGGAGTCTCAGCTCATTGAGGGCATCCAGTATCTGCTTATGTCCTGCTAGTCTTTCATTCATTGGTTTCTAACATCTGTTGCCTTAACTTCAAGGCTCCAGGTACTTGAGAATCCTGTAGTACACTGGGTTTTTGACATGGTGTCCGCATGCAGATTCCAATTTAGCTAAGAGACAAAGGGAGATAAGAAAATAAGTACACAAGTAACCACAGCATCAGCTCATGCCGGCCAACACCCCCAGTGACTCTGGGGCATCTCAAGCTTCTGAGGTCCTTTTGAGGAGGGTGAAGGAACCCGTGTCAATGGGTGTCAAAAACACAGGGTGGAGATATGTTTTTGCCATGGGGTGTGAAGGGTTGTGGCTGAAAAGTGTTCTGGTAAGAAAAAAAATGTTAATGAGTGCACATTAAAGAATGGGGTGGAGTGTGTGGAGATTAGAGATTAGAACTAAACGGGAGGGGTAACATGCAGATGGGGGGCTGGCTTTGAACACAAAGTCAAGTCAATGGTGAGGAGGATGGCAGTCAGCTGACTGAAGAAGGAATACCACCTCTCTCTCTCTCTCTCTCTCTCTTTCTCTCTCTCTCTCTCTCTGCAGGAACGTAGCTTTGACTGTAAGATCTGTGGCAAGAGCTTCAAGAGGTCATCCACACTGTCCACACACCTGCTCATTCACTCAGACACCCGGCCCTACCCCTGTCAGTACTGTGGCAAGAGATTCCACCAGAAGTCAGACATGAAGAAACATACCTTCATCCACACAGGTGAGCTGAGGTCCTGCTTGTAGGGGATGGTCTGAGTCTATCCAACAGAACTCTCATAGCCTGGCCCCAGTGAATGGACCAATAGGTGAGGCTTTCAGGGTGGAGTTAATAAGACAGATTCTCTCACAACAGCCTTTCTTCACCCCTAGAAGGGCCTTGATTTGGGGGTGGGTCTGAAGGGGTAGCGGGCCTGTGTCTTTAGAAAGAGTATTTTCCTCTAGGTGAGTGTCTCTGCTGCCTGTTCTGGGCAGGGTCCTCTCAGAAGTCACTGAATGGTTACTGGAGACCAGACTTTCTGTAGGGTTTCTACCCGGTGGGATTCATGAGGCACCTAAGCTTCATTTTTACAGGTCTAAGAGTTTATTTTGTTTGAGTAGGAAATAAAATGGCAAATACTACTTAGCTTTCTGCTAAGTCTATATTCATAACTCCAAGAGATGGAAACTGTTCTTTATCCCCATTTTAGAGATAAGGAAAGAGAGGCACAGAAAGATTTAAGTAACCTGTCCAGGGTCATACTGCTAGCAAGTGGTGAGGTCAGGGCTCAAGTTCAGGTTTGTCTGACCTGTCAGATATCTGTGATCTTGACCTATTCCTTGTGTTATGTTTTCAAAGTTGTGGTAGTTGGTTGATACAAAAACTTCATTCATTGTCATTTTCAAAATATCACCAATTTTATGCCCTAAGGTTGGCAATTCCTCATCTATTATATTTTTATTTTATATGTATGAGTGTATTGCCTGCATGTATGTGAGTGCACCCGTGTCATGCAATACCACGGAGGTCAGAAGAGAGCTTTGGATTCCTCTGGAACTGGAATTAAGGATGGCTCGTAGCTGCCATGTGGGTGCTGGGAACCGAACCCAGGTCCTCTGCAAGAGCAGTCAATGCTCTTAATTGCTGAGGCATCTCGCGAGCCCCCAGCCATCTCTCCAGCTCCCCCATTATAGTATTTTTAAATTGCACAACATGCTTTCAAATCTTTCATTTTGTTTGATCCTTCCTGCTACACCATAGAGCAAAATTAGCTCCTCTTTCTGTGCCGAAACTCCAACACAGAGGGATCTATCCTGTCAGTTTGAGTCAATTACAGAGTGTTCTCTTTAATAATCAACAAGACATTTACACCAGACCCAGAATTTCTGATACCTTTACTGCAGAATATGACATTCATTTAAAACAAATCATAGTGTGTTCCACACACCCACAATTGATGTTTATGAGTGCACAGTGTAGATATCTGTATCTGAAAACTCAGAAAAAAACCACTTTAATCATGCCCCCTTGCCCGAAATTTTCATGTAATTCACTGCTTGTAAGTTGTTCAAGACACTTATAAAATGCAACTAGAATCTTGACTAAATGAAACATTAAGCCTTTATTAAACAGTTACATTTATGGTTAGATTTCATTTCTCAACTGTTTGCCCCTAGAGGGATAGAGTAAGTTTTGTTGGGTGAGTTCTTATCTGAGAATTCTGATGCAGGAGGAGAGAAGGAAGGAGATAGGAGGGTTCCTTAAGAATAAACAAATAGGGGCTGGAGAGATGACTCAATGGATAAGAAGAGCACTGGCTGTTCTTGCAGAAGACCTGGGTTTGAATCCCAGCACCCAAATAGGGCCTAACAACTGTCTGTAACTCCAGTTCCAGGGGATTAGATGCCCTCTTCTATCCTCCCCGGGTGTTGCATGGTGCAGGTGCATTTACATACATGCAGGTATAACACTCATACATACACATAAAATAAAAATAAAAAAGCCAAGAAAGAATATATATATATATATATATATATATATATATATTTAATTTTCCCCAAGACAAGTCCCAACCATAAAGCCTTATGGGACTGTTTGGAAGTGTGCTATTTGCCCAAATTTTAAACAGTGCATGAGATAGAGAGAGAAGAAGCTTTTCACATTCTTCCCGTTATTCTATTAATCTGTAGTGAAGAGCTGTGGCATATTAAGAATCCTCCAAGAAAGAAAGTAAAATAGATAAGAAATGATGTGGCCAGATATGGTGGTGCACACCTTTAATCCCAGCACTCAGGAGGCAGAGGAAGAACTAAATTTCAGACCAGCCTGACATAGCAAATTCCAGGCCAGCCAGGGCTACATTGTGAGACCCTGTCTCAACAAAACAACAACAACAACCAAAAGATATGTACTCCAAATATGGATTAAAAAAAATAAGGTGAGAAGAAACATCCATCCTTCAAAGATCTGTATCCTTCAAGAGACAAAAAAAAAAAAAAAAGACAGTTTCACCGGTCATACACAATCAACACCCACTTGGAAACTCAGATTTGAAAACTTCCTCTGACTAGAGCAGTCACAGGGTTTATAGAACAGCCCCTCCCACCTCCTGTTCAACATCTGTTTCTGGTGCCCTCTACTTCTAAAGTCTGGGGAGTCCTCCCAGGGTTCAGCTGGGGAAGGCACGTGGTCTTTGCTCAATTTCCGTTTAGCAGGAAACGGTTTGAGACCTTTGGCTGGGAACCCCCACTCAAAAAAAATCTTCCTTCCACCTGGTACATCCGTGGCTTCCTGGGACCAAGTTGCAGGCCTGGAGTTGGTTCATGTTGCAACCTCTCACCCTCCAACGTTGCTTGAAAGTCTTAACCAGCTGCTGGCACGAGCATGTGGGTCACGATGCATCCTTTAAGCTTTATCACAGACTTCTGCCCTCCCTCTTCCATCCCTGCAGGAGAGAAGCCCCATAAATGCCAGGTGTGTGGCAAAGCATTCAGTCAGAGCTCCAACCTCATCACCCACAGCCGGAAGCACACAGGATTCAAGCCCTTTGGCTGCGACCTGTGTGGGAAGGGCTTCCAAAGGAAGGTGGATCTCCGGAGGCACAGGGAGACACAGCATGGACTCAAATGAGAGCCCTGGCTGGCTGCATCACCAGCTACGCAACACTACTGTGGAGGACAGCTTCCCTGCGGGCCTCCTGCCCCTTCTCAGGCCCTGAATCCAGTCTGCAAAGCCCATCATGGTAATCCCTTCTCCTTCTTCCCTGGAGTGGCTGGAGGGTGAGGTACTTTTTCTAATTTATGCCCAGAGTGGAAACCACAACAACTATCTGGGCTTCATGCTTTTCAACACCTGAAGATGCAAAGTCAAGTGAGGATCAAATAAAATCTTGACCACCAGAGTCCTTCCCTTTTCTGCCTTGTCTCACAGACAGGAAAAGCGCTTGGGTTTGGCTTACCTACTGAAAGAGGAGGAATCACCTTTTAACGTGGACCCAGGCTAATGCTTTTGTTTAGAAAGAAGAATGAGTGTTACTGTTTTCCTCTTCTGCAGAGTCTGTCCACCCCTTTCTTTTGGGTGCTGTCTGTCCATCTTCTCCCTCAGAAATTGATTTAGGGAAGGAGCTTCATTCTTTTGAAATGACCAGAATGCACCATCAAGCCTGACCCAGAAAGAAGCAGAAAGAAATGCTCCGTGTAATCAGAGGAAATCAGAGGTCCTTGCTAGCTCCATCAGAGGAGAAGGGAAGATGGAGCAGCACCTGTGGAGAGATATTCATTCATTCTGCAAGTTCTTGTTGACCACTGGTTAAGAGAGTACCAGGTACCATGCGAGGCACTGGAAGTCAGACATTAAGGTCCCAGCCCTGTACCTTCAAAGTTAATATTGGGCCTCAGAGTGACTAGAGGCTGTGCTCTTTCCTCCAAAGGAGCTCTGAAAAGACAATGCAGAATCATTAAACTTCCCTTTTGTCCTTTTTGGATTTTTTTCAAGTATAAACAAAAAGTAGCTGAAGGGTTACTTAAAATATTCATGTTTATATTCAGTTTTTATTGTTAAGTGGCTGTTTTAAATGTGCCTAAGCTGATAGATGCATGAGGGTAAAGGCTCTGTCTTCAACCCTGGTTCTCTGTGTGTACCATATAGGAAAACAGTGGTATTTTTACTTTGAAGGTTGTAAATGTTTCTGGACCTTCTTGAGTGCATTATATATGTTAGAACATATTTATTAGAGTGATGCTTTAATTTAATAAAGTATTAAGACTGTTACAGATTGCCTTTCATTTAGACCAGGAATTTGGGAAAGACCACTGGTGTTTTAGTTTTGTTTTGTTTTTTTCTTGTGGGGGAGGCTGGCACTGGAGAACTACAGAGGGGTATCAAAGAGTAAACTCTAGGTGCCTCTGTTTCCCTCCTCTTCATTTCCTTTTTGCTTCAGAGATGCTTCTTTTTTAAGTGAAAACCTAGAACGAATGGAAACTAAGGTGCTTTGCTTGTAGAACTGTCTTTCAATTTGGAGATCTGAGTCTTATATTTTTTAGTATTTGTTTTATTTCTATTTAGGTGTATGTATGTATCTACTTGTTTGTGTTGCATATTCATGCAGGTACCTGAGGCAGGCCAGAAGAGGGAGTTGGACCCCTTAGAGCTAGAGTTACAGGCAATTATGAGCAGAAAGATGTGGGTGCTGGACCCGAAATCAGGTCCTTGGAAGAGCAAATGCTCTTAAAAACTGAGCCATGTCTCCAGCCCATATTTGGGTCTTGGTATACAACAAGCAACGTGGCAAATATTTTGCCTTCCCAGTTTCCTTGACCATAAAATGTGGATCTGGTCCTGTCATCCCAACCTAACTCTGACTTCTCTAACTCCATGGAAACTAGAGAAGAGGAGAAAAAACAGATTGGTTGGCTGTTGCACAGGAGGCAAATTAGAAGCCTAAAGTGCATGAGGAAACATGGAATGGGATTTGCGTTACTTCTGTCTCTGCCCCATCAGTGAATATTTTAAGAGACTCAAACTAAGATCCTGGCCTTCCATACCTGTGTATGAGTGTATTGCCTGCATGTAAGTGAGTGTACCCATGTCATGCAATGCCTTGGAGGTGAGGTCTTCGGATTCCTCTGGAGCTGGAGTTAAGGACGGTTTGCAGCCACCATGTGGGTGCTGGGAATCAAGGCCAGGTACTCTGCAAGAGCAGTCAGTGCTCTTAACCGCTGAGCCGTCTCCCTAGCCCTAATACCTGTGTTTTAAAACCTCCCAGCCACAGTCTCAGCTTATGAATGGCTGAGGGGGATGGCCAACGCTGTCCATTTCCATTCAAGTCAATTTTATACAATGCAGCTGAGGACCAAGTCTGTGACTGGCAACAGTCCAGGAGGTGGAGACCCAGCAGTAAGGATAGATCCTCTGGAGCTTGAGTTAGTCACTGCAGACTCTTCAGGCCCAGAACAATGCCTGGTACCTAGCAGGTGACAGGAAGTAACCTCTTGCTTCATCCCACACCCAGGAATCAGGTAGCACATCGGGGTCTCAGGACACACAAGACTTTCCAGGGGAGAGGAAACTTTGCTACCTCTCTCCAAATCTAGGTCTTGGCCATCCTCCTTTGTCTTCCAACACACCTATGTCAGTTTACTCTTATTCAAAGTTCAAGTTTGTTTACTGAGTAATGTAGTTTAAGATAGTTTCCTAGAACCTATGGGTAATGAACAGTCACAGTGTCCTGGGAGGCAGAACCCTCAGCACATGAAGACAAAAGTCAATGTGGACTCTGCTCTGTTAGTTCAATCTGGTTTGAAAAGTAAAATTATAATGAAGGGTGAATTGAACTGATTGAAATCTGAGGACTTATTTTCTGCTCTTCCCTGATCTGGTCCACTTCTCCTTTATATGGAAATATACATATTTGAGATAGGGTCTTGCTGTGCAGCCCAGGCTGGGCTTGAACCCCCAATTCTCCTGCTCCAGCATCCTTAAAGCAGCTGGGAAAATAGGCATCTTCCATCATGAATGGTTGAAAAGTTATGGCGTCAATGTTATCTATATGCCTTTTTATTGGGAAAATTTATCTTGATATCCTCAGTTTAGAATCAAAACAAATTACTGCACCGGTTACTGTGTGAAATTTGAAGATTGCAAATATCTCTCTTAACGTTATTACTTGGCGCCATTAAAAATAGATGGTGAATATTCCATGTCACATTATTCATGAGGTGGGCTCTATGCCTTTTGTCTGCTGGAGTAACAGTAGAAAGGGTAACAAGAGACACCCGAGCACACCTTTGTTTCTTTCACTAAATTTTTAATAACACCTCCAGCTAGCCAGTTGGTCAAGCTCAGCTCACCATAAAAGTGGAAAAGCACAGCTATCTCTAAGAAGCCCAAGTCTTTCAGTAGCTAATTTGAGTTTGTGTTCATCTACACCAGACACGATTACATTACCTATTGACTGTGCTGAGCTATCGGGATTCAGGCCACGTAAAAGGTGAATTCCATCTGATTGATTTGAGACACAAATGGAACAACTGAGTTTTCGAAGGCCTGCCTTAATTAAAGGGACAGCAGAGTATCATTCCCCTGTGACTTTTGACTGCCACTGCCCTTGAAAACTGGGTGTTGATAGTGATTTGACCTAAGTCATTTTATTGTGCACCTGTTTGTTTAACCTGATCCGCTAACAAGTGAAAGAGAGGAAAACCCAAAAGGACTTTGCATTTCTACAGTTCTGTTTGTTGAATCTGCACCACTGTATTATTTCTACAGTTAAAATTTTTAAATCAAATTCATCATATATTTATTTTAACAACTCATCCACCAAGTCAGACTTAAAACATAAAAAATTCAAAGACATTTCACCCAAAGCCTTTCCAGCTTTAAAGTTTGTGGGATTTTATTTGAATTCTTTCTGATTCTTTATCCACAGGTGTCTTTATATATTTTCAAATTTGTGGTCAAGGTATTTATAATTTATATCTAAGTAGCTCATTTATTTACTTGCTGTGGACATATACTTAAAACTGAAACATATTTCATAATGAGAATTTGGACCTTGTTTGTTTGATTTTTGTTTTGAGAAGCGTTAGCCTGAGCTATCCAGCTTCCTGCTATCTGGGTGCTGGGATTACAGGCGCGTTTTAGTACTCCTGGCTTGGACAATTTTTGTGATTAAGCTTTATTGACATCTTAGTATTTAATTAGTTCTGTCATTTATGAAGCCTTATTAAGAAAAGGATTTTTGAAATTTGTGTGTGTGTGTTTTTTTGAGACAGGGTCTCCCTGTAGCCCCCGCTGGCCTGGAACTCACTATATAGACCAGGCTGGCCTTGAACTCACAGAGATCTGCCTGCCTCTGCCTCCCGAGTGCTGGGACTAAAGGAATGTGCCACCATGCCCAGCGGATTTTTGAAATTTAATGTTATTAAGTTTTTAAGCCCACTGGAAGTTACAAAGAATTTTTTTTTTTTTGAGACAGGGTCTCCCTGTAGCCCCCGCTGGCCTGGAACTCACTATATAGACCAGGCTGGCCTTGAACTCACAGAGATCTGCCTGCCTCTGCCTCCCGAGTGCTGGGACTAAAGGAATGTGCCACCATGCCCAGCGGATTTTTGAAATTTAATGTTATTAAGTTTTTAAGCCCACTGGAAGTTACAAAGAAGTAATTTTTTTTTTAATTTTTAAAAATGATTTATTTAATAACAACATACTTAAAAGAAGCATATCATTACAACACAATTGACATATTCAATAACGGTTTCCTGAGGTAGGATGCATCTCTTTCAAAATTGGCTGTAAATTTTTAGGTTTACAGTTGAATTAATATAATTATACAATATTGTACTCAGTATAAACCCTATAAGACATAAATTAAATGACGTTTTAACCTTTAAAAAAGATCTCCATTTCATTATTAAAATACACAGTTTCATACAGAAAAATTCTTTTTCAATGCAATTGACATTGGATGTTTGCACATGCATTTCTAAGCTCTAAATATCTAATTATTACTAGTCACAGTTGGTTACTTTCTGAG